AACTCAGGTAAACATAATATCTCTACTACTCTTTCTGGGCCCAACTTAACTTATGTTTGCTTTGAGTTTAGACGAAAAGTGCGAGCCCATGCCAATCTAAGGACACTCCGCGCGGCACGGTTCAAGATTTGTAAAGACGGTTATCACCAATTTTGCTGTGATGGTACCGCTGAACGCCGGCATTACAACAAGCGATAGTTAGTGGAAAGCGCAAGTTCTTGTTCGTTGTAAGGGCAAATGAATTTGAGCTAACTTTTTTTCATTGGAACATGGATGTTATTTAGGCGAACCTAACGAAATCCTATGACCTGAGAAGGTATGCGTCTCGATTCACATACCATACCTAGAATCTTACGATTCCAGGGCTACCCCCATACTTACAGCGTGAAGGCCCCGGACCCCGAAGGGCCCGTAATTTGAGCTGACATACTTTGGTGGGCTGTGTTCGTTTTAGAACCGAGTTCTGCTTGGCTTGTCGGTGGTAGTTAAGTTTGACGTCCATGTCTGCGATATTGACGCGTGTTAGGACGATTCCCTAAAGTGAGGACTGGGACCTGCGATCGGCTGTGGTGTCTTTCATGGATATGACTTTAAAAGCATTGTGAGATAAGAGTTTTACTTACTTAAATTCTTCATGGATGGCAGTTCGTACTTGACAGAATCCTTTAATACCAGATAGAAAGTATATATAGGGGTAGTTGTGATATGCGAGGCTGGATTTGTTGTTATTTGGGTGGCTAGGTTGCTGCGGTGACTGGATTCGACGATATTTAGCGCGGTTAGGCAGGGGAAAGTGAGAGAAGGCTGACATATTAAAGTCGGTGAAGTTATCTCTTTAACTTAACATAAAACCCTACACCCTTCAAAAGTCGTTAGCATGTTCCTGGGCTCGAGCATGACGTCATTTTATGCAGACAACCGTCGGGATGCAGCGCGCATACTTCAGCTACCGTGACACCTCGTCATTGGGCGGAAACCGATAGCTGAGTGAACCAGCAAACTCGCGACGAGTTCGCAGCTAGTGATGGTGAAAAATGAATATACTGAAAAGCAATTTAATTAACCCATCAGGTAACGTATTTTCAGTAAAGTCATTCCGTTATTCATGGCGCTGGTGTTGAGTTGTGATAAATTACTTTCAATTATGTGGGCTACCAGGCCCATGCGCTATATGTTGCTTTTTTTACCTTACTAGAATCACCACTGCGAGGCGGCTGCGTTGACTCGATCAAACCTCTCTGACCGCGAATAGTTCGAGAGGTTAATCGTTGGGAAAACACAAACGCAAGCGCATTGAGATTAATCCGTTGTTCAGTAAAAATATTTCGAGAATGCAATTGTGTCGCTCTCCACGACAAAACTGTGCGTCCAATACGGAAGAGAAAGTCCCGTGGTAATTTTTTAAAGTTGCTTTTAAAAAGAATCTACACCAATGGCGTAGGTGGTGGCAACATGTCAAAGCTAGTCCCTGTAAATTTTGTACTTGGGTTTTCCTTTACAATCAGGCGAAAAATCGACACTTTTCGGAGGTCAACTACGAATTTCAACTTTCATTTTGATGAATCTGTTTAAGCAGCGCTGTATGCATATAGATGACAATATACTAAGGATAGTGCTGGTATTAAGGGCCATGAAACACTCGTCGTTTCGAGATGAGGGCAGTAATAAAAACGT